GCCGTGAAGGGGGAATAACCCACCATGGCAATGCACCTGAAGAGGACGAGGAACTGTCACCATCGTTAGAAAATTTTGTTGTGCTCACATGGCTGAGGCTAATACATGTTGATCTTCCAAAGCTCGTCAAACAACGTTATGGGACTGAGCTTCGTCCACGAACAATTTCCTCTTTGAAACCTGAAATCTCACAGGCTCTCGATTCACTTTTAGATGAAATCCGCGCAGCAGAGGATGCTAAGGTTATGAGGACAAATACTTCAACACAGTGCTCATCATTCTCACGTTTTGCTAAAGCACAACAAACGGGTAGAAAGTTTCCAAAATCATGTCCACTGTGTAAAGCTGGAGGACGCAGCGATCATATTCATCATCTCAGCAAGTGCAAGTTCCTTCCAGATCATGACCGGAGATACATGGTCAAAGCAAGACAAATTGCCAGTAAACTTGATGTCCCTGCTGACGATGCTAGTGATACGGTTGAAAATGTGTGTGCAGAGTCATCCACCGAACCTGTCTCCACTCTTCGTGTGCAAGTCCGTCAGTCGCCCTATATGTACTGTTTCTGTGGCCACCGGACGGCACGAGTCACTGTTGATAGTGGAGCTACTGGTAATATGATCCGCCTCTCAACAGCAACAGGCTTCGGCGCTGACATGAAGACTAGCGCTCTCAGTCAGCCCATCAGGCAGATGGTTCTTCCCCACTGAAGGTCGTTGGAGAGACAAGAATCCTTTTCACATGGGACAATAAGGAGTTCGATTTTGGGAGGCCAACGATGTGTCAGTACGCCCTGCAAAACATCAGATCATACTTGGTGATGGTTCGACATACACATACGGTTCCACAGAAACAACTGGTGACAAACATACTGTGAGACGAGCTTGTGTACTCAGAGCCCCAGACACTACCATATGGCCTGGAGACTTTATTGAGGTGCCGGTTCCCGAAAGCTTTGCTCCTGCGGAATTCACATTTGCCATAGAACCCCGCATAGATACCAGACCTGGACGCTCTACCTTGTCATCCACTTGGCCAGGATTTGGAATTATCTCAAGCTTCTCAGGCAAAATCAGGATCCCAAACCTGTCCGACACCCCACAAATGCTCAAGAAACACAACCACTTTTGCCAGGTTTGCCCAGTTTTTATACCTGACTGCGACCCTGATTATGATGTCAAGCCGGCACATCTGCTACCAACTATGTCCCCTCAAATTAAGGACATTGGTTTCTCATCCACTGTTTGTGTAGACCCAGACAATATCCTCCCGCAAGATACCAAATCTCAGTTTGAGTTACTACTTACGGAATTCGATGATGTGTTTAACCAACATATCGATGGCTATAACGGTGCTTCAGGCCCCTTTCAAGCATTTGTTAACATGGGACCTGTACAACCTCCACAACGGAAGGGACGTGTCCCGCAATTCTCATGAGATAAACTTTCTGAGCTCCAACAGAAGTTCGATGAACTTGAGCGGATGGGTGTATTTGTACGACCTGAAGATGCAGTTATCCAAGTAGAATACCTCAACCCTTCTTTCCTAATCAAGAAGTCCAGTGGTGGTTACAGATTGGTGACCGCCTTCTCTGATGTAGGACGATACAGTAAGCCACAACCTTCCGTCTAAGACAGATTGCCAAAGTGGAAGTACATTATAACCACAGATTTAACCAATGCCTTTTATCAGATTCCTCTGTCCAAGGAATTGATGAAATACTGCGGTGCAGTGACCCCGTTCCATGGTGTGAGAGTATATGCCAGGTCTGCAATGGGAATGCCGGGCTCTGAAACTGCGTTGGAGGAGCTCATGTGCCGCGTACTAGGGGATCTTTTAGAGGAAGGGGTGATTGTTAAGCTTGCCGACGACCTTTACTGTGGTGCTGATAGCCCGGATTGGTTACTTTGTCTTTGGAGACGCGTACTTGAAGTGCTCAAACACAACAATCTCAGATTATCTCCTAACAAGACAGTTATTGCTCCCAGGACAAAAACCATCCTAGGATGGCAATGGCACCAAGGATCCATTCAAGCAAGTCAACACTGCATATCAACTCTGGCTTCTTGTTCACCTCCGGAAACAGTGAATGGCTTACGGTCATTTGTAGGAGCTTACAAGGTCTTGTCCCGTGTTATATCTGGTTGTTCCACACTCCTTGCCCCACTTGATGCTGAAGTGGGCGGTCGCCAGTCCAGTGAAAAGCTTCTTTGGTCTGACTCTTTGCTCGATGCCTTCAAAACAGCACAGACTGGTCTCGCATCCAACAAATCCATAGTACTGCCTCACCCCGATGACCAACTCTGGATTGTAACTGATGATGCTGTTAGGAAGCCAGGAATTGGAGCAACACTATATGTAACACGTAGTGACTCGCCACGACTAGCAGGATTCTTCAGTGCCAAGCTTCTGTGACAACAGGTCGCATGGTTACCATGTGAAGTGGAAGCCCTTTCAATTGGTATCGCTACCAAGCATTTCAGTCCTTTCATTATCCAGTCAAAACACAAAGCATGTATCCTTACCGACAGTAGACCATGTGTTTTGGCATTTGAGAAGTTATGCCGTGGGGAGTTCTCTGCTAGTCCTCGGGTGTCTACCTTCTTATCGACAGTTAGCCGCTACCAAGCAATGATACAACACCTTGCTGGTTCTGCAAATGAGCCACTCGATTTTGCAAGCAGAAATGCACCAGAATATGACAATCCCTCTTGCCAAATCTGCTCCTTCATTGAGCGCACAGAAAGCTCTGTTGTTCGACAACTGTCTATAGAGAACATCATGAATGGAACTACCCGCCTTCCTTTCACAAGCAGGTCTGCTTGGCGTTCCTTGCAAGAGGAGTGCCAGGATATTCGACGAATACATGCTCATCTTCTCCAAGGTACCTGACCATCAAAGAAGGTAACAAACATCAGGGATATCAAACGATACCTAAATGCAGCAACCATCTCCAAGGATGGATTGCTTGTTGTCCAAAAATCTTACCCACTCGGTTCACAAGTATTAGACGGAGTCTTGACTGCCCTTCCCATACAACTGGATCACCCATCTGCACACCAACTCAAGCAAGTATGCCATAAATACTTCTTTGCTTTAGACCTTGACAGATCCATAAACAGTGTCTCAAAATCTTGTCACCGAAGCGCCTCCTTGCGTAAGACACCTCATGTTGTAGACCAAAGCACCAGTGATCCACCTGAAACTGTTGGGATTGCATTTGCGTCAGATGTTATGCGCAGGGAACGACAACTCATCCTCATTCTACATGAATGTGTCACATCCTACAATGCAGCGTGCATCATTACCGATGAGCATGGCTCCACCTCGCAAGGTCGGAGGTTCACAAAGTTTAAACAGCGTTTACTAGTAATTAGTGACTAGGTAGCTATGTAAACTTCTGATTAATGATTTATATATTTGTTTGTAAACGTATCATGTCAATAATTAACATTGGATTTTATGACATGTAAAGTTATTTCTGAAGCACTGTTTCGCTCAGAGAATATTTTCTTTGCACCACATCTTAAACAGGTACAACGGTATGTATCAGTACAGTCAAGTCTCGTTAATCCGAAACTCGTTAATCCGACAATCTGCTTTATCCGACACAAATGATGGGAAACCATTAAATCAGGGTTATTTAGACCCGTTAATCCAACAGTCTCGCACTCCGACTCGACACACCTGATTTACAACGAATTGATGAAATCCCTCATTGATCAGTCTCGTTAGTCGGACACAATGATCCATGTACTCCGTATCTGCATATTTCAACGGCTGCAGAGATAAACTTGCTTAACAATAAACAATCACTGCTTTAAATAAACAAAACAAGATTATCACATGCCTAGATTACTTCAATCTCATTAAAATTGGATACAAGTTCTCGCTTCTGCTGCGGACATCCCATTACAGGTCACGTCAGAAAGACCTTTCGCGAACTTCGACCGACTAATGAAATTACTAACAGGAAGTCGACATTAGCAACTAAGAAAGCAGATCATTTAGACCGCCGTCAGGTATGGATGAAAAATTCCTGAGTGCGGCGTTAAACAACACACAAACGAAACAAATGAGCAAATTGTGAATCCATTTGACATATTACAATATCGAGGTAACGTCTTTTCCTCCGCCAGCAGCATCATCTCTGTTTAAGAAAAGATTGTCATCAATATTTGAAATTGACTGAAATTGTTTTTAAGGCAATTTACAAAACTCCAAGATATTTCAGGCAATTTACAATTACTTTCCAGTCAGATTGCCTAAAATTCATAAAACTGTTCAAAAGGTCTCAATCTCATTAACATCAGATCAGACCATTACGGGTCACGTCAGAACGACTTTTCATCCGACCAATCAAAGCGTCGCTTACCAGATCATGAAAGTGACAGTCAGAATGTGTTTTCAAGTCAGGAAAAGAAAGCTGCTTTCTAATTGGCTGATGTCGACTTCTTGCTGGTCGTTTCAGTGGTTGGTCAAAGTTCTCGAAAGGTCGTTCTCACGTCGACGTGACCCGTGATGGGATGTCCTCAGATCTTTGTTTAGCGGCATCAAGAACTTAGATCTTATTGAGATTGAAAAGGTCTTGAACACATAACACTAGACTAATAACGCTGGGAATAGAAGCCAGAGATATACACCGAGCTTAGTGTTCTCTTCATCCTATAGTTTCAGTCTCTGGGGGGTAAACTAGAGAATAGAAATGTTTGGAATTGGTCATACTAATAAAATAAATGGACAATCAATTGCTAAATGACGTGCAGATGGTTACAAATGCCAATCTCTGTTACAGTTCCAGTCTCTTTTAACTTGTAACCTGATCCCCCAAATGAAGATGCATGTACAACTGTACACAGAAATATTTATTTATTTGTGTAACCGCCAAAACTCGTTCCGTTTGTTGTGACTTAATTGTTGATTTTGATATAAGTCTGTGTAATACTGGAAAACACTCCCGTTTCGCACATTTTGACATCATCGATGTGTTGCAGACACATGTGATCGAGTATATCACACAACGTCAGGGAGTTTGGATACTTACTCTGTGTCACTCGCACAAGGCATGGACTGTGAATACATCGTTCGTCCCCCCTACTACCCCTTCTTCATGACACTGTACTTGCGTCCATTATTAATGACGTACAACTTCATGGACAACAACAATTGTTCTGGCAGCTATGTGGAGATCAGCGGCACACAGTACTGCGGAGCTATTGATGGCCAGTACAGCTGTAAGAACTATACTGTACTATTGTTATATAAATTTTTAAATATAGGGTGTCGCATTGTTATAAATGTATGCATTTAGAGCAGATAAGCTAAACGAAATTGAAGAATATGGTTTGTTTGTTTGTTTAACGTTTAATGTATTCCATGACGGCGGGCTGTAAATACTCGAACCTGGTTTAGACAATCCAGTGATTGATATTATAAGCAACGACTCACGTCGTCATGTGAGTCGCGATGAAACGCAATCAATCAGATCACTGAGCTTGGCCACACGGTCCATTAGCTAGCTAGCCCTTTATAACCATCATACACCAGCCTATGTTGCTATGGACCTGTTATAACCCAAAATCCCCACGGGTCGTCGAACATGTGGAGCACATGGAGCACACTTATCAGCCTTGAAACGCTGTACTGAAAATCAAAACTGATCAGTTTACTCACACTTATGTAGGAATTTGTAATTTGTCATAAGGCCCTACCTCACCAAAAAAAAGAAATCGTAACTTGATATGTTTCCAGTCTCATCAGATGAGGCTGGGCTACCTGTGCGGTGTCATCACTCTGGGAGGAGGGAAGAATTTAACATCTACTTCAACACAAGGCCCCGTAAGTATCTCAGATGACAAATACGTGATTAAGGTTTAATTAGATTTATTGCCCTTGAAATGCTTCTTCAAATACTAATATAAGATAGCTACGAGATAAATCGCATAGAACAATAAAGAATGAGGCCTGGTTTACGTCACAATAAACATTGTGCTATCATGACGTCATTTCTGGACATTCGAACATACCTCTCGGATATTGATGATGTCGTATTTGGACAAGAAAACATTGATGCAGAGCATCAAAGTTCCCCGCCATATGTGATGCCTCACAAACGCATAATTATGATGTTACTGAAAGGCATGATGGAGCATAATTATATTAACCACAAATAACACAACGCTGTTGTGGAAAAAAATATTATTTATTTTGAGTATTTGGCAATACAGTTGATACATTTGCATAGGGTACGTCTATTTAAAAATAGTTGTTTAACGCCGCACTCAGCATTATTCCAGCCATATGACGGAGGTCTGTAAATAATCCAGTCTGGACCAGATCATCCAGTGATTGACACCAAGAGCATCGAACTACGCAATTGGAATATGATGTTTTGCATCGACCAAATCGGCGAGCCTGACTACCCAATCTTGTTCGTCGCCTCTTACGGCAAGCATAGGTTGCTGAAGACCTATTCTTACCTGGGTCTTTATTTAAAAAGTAGATCGAAGGAAATGGAAGCAATTTCTGGCACAAATGTAAACATGTGGAAATAGTATCAAAACTGCCAACAACATTGGCAGATGCACATACTCAAAAAATAGATCACATTCTTTTTACACTTAGCATTTGGTTATAATAATGTAAATGAAAATACTAAGGGCTCCATATGGCAAAAAAAGTCATACTAGATAAGGTCTTTTTGTCACAACCACAGATGCACATACTCAAAATATTATCACGTAGTTGGAGAACATTTCAATACCGGGACTAATCAATAACGGAGATTCCTCGTCTCTTGTTTTACGTTTTTTGGTCAGTTTCTTTTGTATTTCTTTCTTTCAAAGAATAGTAATTGTGATCATGATGAGTTGAGTTACTTGGTTTTTTTCTATATACTGTTTTTTATCCAGTGTCAGTTACTGTTGTGGAATGTGGTTTACTTGAAAAAACAAACTGGTTTGAGTTCATATGATGATGATTGATTGGTTTGTCGTTTAACGCCGCACTCAGCAATATCCCAGCTATATGACGTCGGTCTGTAAATAATCGAGTCTGGACCAGAGAATCCAGTGCCTAATATCATGAGCATCGATCCACGCAATTGGGATCGACGCCTCTTACGACAAGCATAGTAGCCTGATATATATATACTGTTAAGATGTAACATGACAATTCATCCATACTACTAAACAGAAGTAAAACCGCTTGTCCATTCGGATCAATCTGACCAAGACCATTCCGCTGATGACAGTCAAATAATGCATACGAATCGAAATCCGTAAAAATTGCAATGGAGACATCATTAAAAGTTACCAAAAGTGACGGGGATATCAATATTGCTTTTTGAAATGATTCTATGAAATTTGTTTTCCCTGCTTCAATATTTGGAGCACCTGTGACGGGGCCACAAAACTGATCTGTTATGTAGACAATATCGCTTGAGGCAGTGGCTGCTGGGGACTGATTATGACCTAAATACTCCTCATTGCCTTCGGTGTTAACTTTGTGGCTGTAGAGAGCTGTGCCTTCATCCAACAGATTATCGAGGTCAGTGGAACACGGTACAGACGCAAATAGATTTGAGCTATGGGACACAAAATATATGAATGACCAGAGCTACGGCTGTACATTGAATTCCATTAAACGGTTGAAAAATACTACAGCCTTGATGCAAATTCGCTGACACACTACTCCGATTTTGCTTTGATCATGACTTTGCTACCAAACGTTTCACATGTGGTTATGTGCGGTGCACTGATTAAAAAACACACACGGGGGACTGGGTTAATTCAAAATACGGAATATAACTATTCCAAATATTTCCAGTGAACATGAGCATCCAAACAATCAAAAGTGTGGTATGTAGATTATGGAATTCAGCCATATTACATTTAAATTGAGATGTCGTCGTTGTTCATGAATAAGCATATTCAGAACATAATTTTTATTATGCTGTTATTTACGATCTCCGGAGCACAGTTCTTCTTTTGTATACACCGTGAAAATCAGAAAATTAGTCCTTGAGGAAAAAAGGACATCGGATTACACATGAATGGTTTAATAATGTCACCTAATGACCAGAAACGGTCAGATGCATCAATTAACTACATAAAGACGATTTTGAAGTATCTCTTATTGCTGGAAAAGAATAGCATCAACATTCGACGCACATGATTTGTATGTTTTGTTTCCGTAAATGCGTGGCTTGAAATTTCAAATAAACCAACATGTCGACATACATGCCACAAATTTAACGTTTCCCGTATACTTCCCCGCCTTAAGGGCGGGGAAGAATAACGGTATTTTTAGTGGGTAGTGAGTTGTTCCCCATGATGTAGCTGGGCAAAAGTGGCCAAAAGTGGGCGAGATATTGCAATCTGTTTTGGAAGAAGGTACCGATAATAGGCGCAAAATGCGTGAGAATATTCAGAAAATACAAACTTAACCTGCCTGTTCATAAGTTGCATCCAAATGAACAATGTCACTTTCTCAGTTTCATGTATCGTAACGCTGACCGACACTACGGGCTACATCAACAGCTACCCTGGTTATGGCGATAAAATCCTATGGAGTTCCTCCTACACCGGCACTCACTGCGTCTTCACAATAAAGGTGGACGACGTTGTGGGTCAGACAATTGTCTTTAGTCTCAATCAGTTCCACCTGGAGGACCCTTACAACAGCACATCTGTCTGTAATGAATATGTGGATATGAATGGCGAAGAGAGACTGTGTGGATACCAATATGGGACTCGAAGTTGTAAGTGCAGGGTTTTTATCATTTTCAATAAATTAAAACACATCTGTTCTTATGATTATCGAAGTGTAGCTAAAAGTCAGAAGGGCAGATTTTGTCTAAGAAATCCGGAGTTGTCAGGGGTTTTCTGACAGAAACACAACTATTATCTTTTGTATATTGGTGACACGTGCTTAACAATTTATAGCAAATAACTATGTCATAATTGACCTGGTTAAAATCTGAGAGGGGTGTACTAGTCCTTCTCAAGTTCCATTGTGTCATTTAAAAACTTATCATACCTCCTTTTGTTACAGTCAACTTTGATGGTACTTTTGTCGTAACCTTCACCAGTGACAATAGTCAGACAAACATGGACTTCGACATCCATTACGACATCGTGCCAGGTGACTATTTCATTAATGGTGTATAGAAAACACTTGTCTTTTCCACTTTGTAGGACTGGCATTGACATGATGCACATTGCATCGTGTCTTCTTGTAACCTTTAAGATGTATAACATCATCCGTGATTACAGATCGTTTCAATCAGAATGATCACTCACAGACATTACTCTGAAAGCATTGGGGTAGCCTTGTGGTTCAAGCTTTCCCTCGTCAGGTCGAAGGCCTGGGTTCGATTCCCCACATGGGTGCAACGTGAGAAGCTCATTTCTGTCCTGATAGTGTCAGAATATTAAAGAGTCAAGTTAAAAACTTCACATTTTTAAAAGTAATCCCATATATAATATACGGGGATCCAGTTAAAAAAGTTGTTTGGGCCATATTTCAATTTCATATATCCGTTGTTTTGGAATAAAAGAGTAACCTTCGTTTCATCACTTCTCTCTTTTTAAAATGCTTGCTAATATATTTCAGATTTGTCAGAAAGTTTTTTCTCTTCCCTCGAATGATGTTAAAGTGTGTATTTCGGTTTTATATGTTGTAACCATATTTATACTGTTAAGTTTTGTCTCATTGCAGCGACCTACATCGATGTGTCATCGTAATCTGATGACGTGAATGGTCATCCATATTAATGCCGTGTCAAACTTTCTAATATTGCGTAAAACTGTATTCTTTCGTTTGCCATATAATCGATCAGTAAATAATATTCAGTCTCGAGAAAGATATAATTATGTGTAAGTAACCTAGTTTCTCCTAATTATAAGACGGTTGCTGGAAGGTCTTTAGATATATGAATTATGTTTTAGCTACTATAGTAGCTGTCTCAAATACTTACAAATGGAAAATCACCGTTACCAACTGGCTTGTTACCAGATGTTAGAAACGTATAACGAATATTAAAATATAAACTAATATAATGTACCAACAGGATTTTCTTATGTTTAGCTAGCGCAGGATTGAGGACATATTGATATTTCCCATTGCCTATATCAAACAAAGCTGTAAGGATATTGGATTTCTTTATTGGCACAGTAAAATTATTATCATATTATTCTTATGTGCGTATTCGTATCACTACTTGAACCTGAAAAGTATGTATTAAAATTAATGCCACATAAGGATTTTATCAATATATTGTGCAAGTGTCGCTGATTAGTACACAGATATTAAATTAGGGGATAAATTTACTATGTTTTCAATGTAGAGCCAAGTGACCTGTAAATTTAAGCGTGCTTAATAGAATTTGGAACCGAACCTGCAGCAACTTCGTAAACCAGCGTGACGTGGGCATCCGTAAAGAAAATAAGCAAGTCTTGCAAGGTTTAGTTCTTCACCGCACGTTACTGTTATTACGTCACACTGTGACGCAGAAAATATGATGGCACAGTCGGCTATAGATAAGCGCCAAATTTCAAGCTCATTCTGGTCCCTAAAACTTGAAATACTCTCTTTTAAAGCTCTGCACGCTAACGTCGAACCCATTCGACAGAGGTGTCCATCCCCGTGCATCTGATGTCGAACCCATTCGACAGGCGAATAGCATAGCAACACCCCAAAATAAAACTCGCCATATCTATTTACCAAGAAGGCTTTGCGTAACATTTAAATTACGTATGACATGCATAAATGCCCAGCTTGCTCAATATCAAAACGTTCAGTCATTTATTTACCTCAAAAAGAAAATATCGCGAGTTAAAAATGTTTCTGCCAAACTTCTCGACACACAACTACCAGAAACGGCCATTGTTAACTTTTGGCACTTCACGTTGAGCGGCATGCAGTCCGATATTTTCTTTATAATTTCATCATTTTTCCTATTCGATCATAATTTTTTGTTTGCTGACGAAAGGAAAACACTCATGTTCCTTTATTTCTAAAAATTAGCAACTTTCGTGTAACTAATTGTAAACAAAAACAATCTGAATCGTAACATCATCGATTGGATGGAACTTGTACGATCATGGCAACGGCGGTAAACAAACAACTCCACATGCATAGTTATCCCGTTAGACTATTACAATCATTTTGTTACATCTAACTTAATTTTCTAGAATTATTGACACGTATGTATAAAACTTTGTGAAAAGAATTTCATTTTTTAAAGAGTTTGCAAATGATTTCGTTTGAAAAACTTTCCGACACATTGACAAGCCGACAAACGTCAGTGATACGTTTGGGCGTGGCCTAACTCGCGATTTGTTGAGTTGAACAAAGTCAACAAACACTGCGAAAAATGACAAATATTGGACGATACGCAAAATCTGAACTGATATACATTCTAGGTTAACCATTCAATAGCAAAATAATGCATTTTACGAGAAATAATCAAAATACTTGCAATTTTAGCTATCATTTCTGAAACCGGAAGCACGTACCGCATGTGACACATGGAAGCAAAATATGCAAAAGTTGGTAAGCTATCATAAAGAAATTCCGAAATAGATTCAAATTCAAAAGAAAATACATAATTTACTATTTTTCGTCAACTATTTACTATTTATTGATCTGGAGAGCAGTGTTCACTCCTATTTGCTTCATATTTCTTCGTGATTGTCGCCATCAAATGTGTAAGTCTAAATCCGAAACCGTAATGGATTTCACGCTCGATGATTTTAATTTTAAAATATTTTCTAAAGACGAACGCAACGGAGAGCGATACAACGTATTGATATGCCATCATAATAACATAATATTGTTATTGGTCTAACATTACAAAAAGAACAATTTAAATATTAAAGATGTTGTTGAAAACTTTCTGAGAACCTCCCGTCCTCTGAACCGATAAAATTTTGGTACACAACGAGGTAGGCTAGTGTAAATATATATAGATTCTAGGCTCCTATATATGTGATTTTGTACCCAAAACAAATTGAATTGTACCCAAAATACTTTGTGAATTTGTACCTAAGAAAATAAGACAATAGATCTATAATTATATTTATGTTTTCATGTAGATGAACAGAACACATAACAAAATATTTCATCAAGTTCCAAATATGATTATGACTGTGATCCTTGAAATTGATTGTTTAGTGTTGAGAGAAAATTGACGTCTTGTCACTGAAGGACACAGTTAAGTTGGTTAAACCTAAGTTAGAATGAATTGTTTTGATAGGAAAGTGATATTATGTTAAGTTTAAGACACAAAATTAATGTATATCTTTGAAATAATTCTAGGTAGATCTACAAAATCACATACCCATTTGGGTAACAAATTACTAGAAATTTTGGGTACAAAAGTCACCACTGTACATTTCAACTGATTTTCGTGAATCAATGGGATAAAAAAGATTCGTCTGAATGATTCCTTTTCTCATTTTTTAAGACAAGAATTTGTTTTACATAACAAAACAGGCAGATCTACACAGATCACGTTTAGTCCTAAAAATGTAAAAAATATGGACACCTCGGAAATGAGGGCTTATAAGGTTATAATTCTACCTAACTAGTCACATGGTTTGACTTAGATCTAGGTCTATCTAAGAAAGACCTTATGAAAATCTTTTTTTAATTTTTTTATGACACTGACATTTCTGGCACTTAGACAAAGAGTATTCAAGGAAAGACAGATATGTTTTTGAATGAAAATATTACTTTCTTTATAATTCTTTTTTCATGATGACAGGGGAACTTTTATACACACCAGCTGAGGAAGTTGTGATACTGTGATTGCATACAAAGAAAAAACAGGTTGGAAGCAGTACCTGTATGTATAAAATAGACCACATAAGGTGAACAAAAGTAATGGATTGGCTGACTGGAAAAAATACATCTGGGAAGGGTAAACATGTACACAGGCATGTTTCTTTTCATTCCAACCAGAAGACTGAGATAGCATTTTCTAAGAAACCTATGGCAAACTTACCAGCTGATGTGCCACCATGGTTCTTGTGATTAAACAAACAAAAATGTCATGTACTGTTACAAGTACTGTTACTGTAATTAAATTAAATTAATTCCTATTAAATTATATTTCAGAATTGTTTTATTTGGAAACAAACCACATAATGCACAAGATTAATGTCCATATGAGTTTAGTATCGTACTGTATGTATATGTTAAGGCTCTGATTTATTCATTATTCATGGAATACTAAATTAAAATGATGACATCAGCGAGTTACTTATTCACATAGTTGATTTTCAGAGTGCAAGATAATAATTGTTGAATAAATATGTTTAAACTAAAGATAATAATTGAAGTTTGATCAGTTACACTGTGCTGATGCAAAGACTAATATTTACTGTCCCCACACACCATCATTGTGGGAAAAATAACTATTAAATATAACTTAAAATTTTAAAACCTGTAAACAGCTGTAAATAATTAAACAATTACAAATCTATCATCAATACGCATTCATGGTGGTCTTCATATTTTTGGAATAAATTTAGAAATCCTTCGTGTAACTGTTCTAAAATCATGCTAGAATCTATGAATGTATTCCTTAAAGGAAAACTATCCTAAATGTAATGTGGAACTAACACCGAAAATATGTACGTAGCATTTTATCGTTATATGTACCCTATCATATTCAGCAACGCGGGGATGTTATTTTGAAACACGTTTTGTCAAGCCCATTTTCGCGCACCTGTTGTTGAGGGTGATCTTGCTGATCGACGATATCCATAGACGTATTACGTGGGATACACTTGTTGTAGTGAAACTTATCAGCGTGTACATCACAGAAATATGAATCATGTCCCATTTATATTCACAACATTGAATGGTGATTCTTAAATATCAACAGAAGTTCAAATAAAAGATACCGAGAAACTTGCATGTGGCATGTTGATTTATCGTCTACCGTTTCCGGGTCACGGGAGCATGCAAGGTCAAACGGATTAACTAATACGCGAATTATATCGTCAAAGTCACATTTTTATTTCATGTTAGTGGTGATTACCGATACTGAGTATCGACTTATATTTTTGCTGTATGTGATAGGCGAACTATTTCAAAATTTACTGTAATTGTTTTGTTTCGAAAGCTTATCAGCAGACTACCCCTGTCTGTGACATCACATCCGGTGACCTTTGCACTTATTGAAATAGTGCTGTCAGAATTCACGATCTTTATTTTCATTTTTCTCTCGTCATATTTATTGGAATATGACGAATAAAACATTCTTCGATTGAGAAGATCGTCAACTTTCGCCAAGTTATATTTATAAAGGCAATGTAAACTTTGTTGATATTAAAATAGCAATAAGTTATGCGGAGGTCGGGCGAAGCGCGCCATGTTTGATTTTAGGACGTCTGCTAGCATCATGACACGGGTTGTTTATTTTTGTATATCGTAAATATTCAACCAAAACGTTTGAAATTAGGATTAGTGAATATTTATAAGTCATTAATTGTTTCCTGCAAATTTTATAACATGACACGTGAGATTAACCCGAATATTCGTATTTCTGCAACCGACATGATGACCTCGAAAATTAAGTTATTTTTCTGTTTAACGTTTAGATAATAAATTCACTGAAATGGTTCATAATTTACCATCGCGCTGATATATGCCGATTATAAAACCCGAATTTTTACTCAATTAAAATTAAGATATCGGAGATATGATTATTGAAATCAATTTGCACAAATGTTACGATATTAAAAGGTTCCTAGCATGAAATGCAAACCACCTTCAATAACGCAATTAAGGTAAGTTCAAGAAAATTTACAAATTTTGTGTTCGCTTTGGTCTTAACTTTGGTATGATTGAAAACATCAGGATATTTTTATATAGAATTGTGTAGTTTTCTATCAGGAATAAATGTGCAAAATATTTCTTCAATTGGCCCTTGTTTAATGAGGCACCGACTGTTTAAAATCACCCACCCTCTTTAGAGCGCCTTATGCTAAAATTAATCCAGCAGGCAGGGGTAAGAAGTGTGAAAATAATTCAGCAGGCTAAAGGTTAAGCGATTTCTATCGTCTGTTTTGCCCGAAATGTATTGCCAGACATACTTTTAATATTTGAATCAAACGCAAGTCTGCATTTTGTAACTGTATTTATTATTATTTAAAAATGTTTACCGACGTTGACTGAGAAAGGAGTACTGTTCTATAAATATTATTCTCCGCGGTGATGCGGCCGTCATATCGTCTGTTTCCATCAGAAGTGGTTATTGTGATTTTTTACCAATCAGTAACTTCCTTGGTCATGTTGGAATATACAACAGCTCCGTTTTCATCTTCAGTAAGTGAAGATATTATAATCTGTAATAGGTGTGATAGTTGTCAAAGTATGGACGAATACAATTTTATGTTGATTTGCCCAAATCATAATGTGAGCAGAAAACAGCATATTCCAGAATATCATTATCCCTCAGGACGTTCTGTCAACTGATATCTCAAAGTGACACTTACACCCTTATAGGTCTATCTGTTTTCTTAAAAAGAAAACAAGGAAAAAGAGTTTGCGTATCTTCAGAAGTTCCAGGTACGTCTGAATGGACAAAATGTACAATTGTACGCTGAGACATTAGGCCCTTACTACATAATAACACCTTGACTTGTCTTTTCTATTATAGGATTTCTGTTTACTAAGTTCAACATTGAAGTATGAATACCCATGTTCTGTGTGAAAAAAAAAGTTTGCACATCGTTTTTTTTACATACCTCAGTGAATCGAAAATAGATACACAGTCAATCCTAATGATTATTTTTTACATGTTACCAACAATAGGTTTATAACAAAATATCACATAAATCAAAACACATTACAATTACAGGTTGTTGTAGGATGACAAATCAGGTGACTACTTATTTATGATCATAAACTGATCAATACGGCTCCCTAGTCAACGGCCGGTCAACGCAACCTTCTTAGATCCTGTCGATCAAGGAAAGATGCGACAAACAGAACTCCCAACGCGTAATCAGAACAAACACTTCGTAACAACATTAATTAACGCATTGAGCAAGGAGCTCTGCGGTACGTTGTTTCACACTTCTTTCAGCATAGACGGGAATCTTATTTTAGGCTATCGACTAGGTAGTTATGTGGATCGACATTCGATATCGCGATGAACAACATTTCTGATGCGAAATTTGTGATGCGTTCGTTATGTTTTTTAAATAATCAATTTGGATCGCTCAGTTTACCAAATGAATGTCAATGTCCCGCCATTTTGTTAAGAATGTTCAGGGACAATAATGATATTAGCTACTTATGACTGGGCTGATGATACGACTTCGCCTACAATCGCTTTGTACGCGTGGATTGTAGTCGAAGCCTTAAATCGCCACCTTACAGATGTGCAAAAAATGAAGCGATAAGATCGTTTTGTGCCAGTGAACCTGCAGCTTGGAGCTCCCCCAATTGTGGTGAAAGCAGACAGTCTCGGTGGGCGTGGCTTATCTTTTACATATATAATCAAACAGATTGCACGAATTACAATTAATACACAGCCTATTTAATTATATGCCAATACACAGCTGTTTCTACGTATTTATATTACGCGATACGTGTTCATAGCTGTTGTTGTATTGTATGGCAAATAAATTACATCTTCACAGCTGTTATTTCGTTCTTAAAGTATATTGCTTCATATTGCTTATGATGCTTCATAATCCATGCATTACGGTGGATTTCCGTACAGATGGAAGTGTCACCTACAGTGGCTTTGTGGCCAACTACGTTGTTAGTGATGGCATGTACAGAGGCTCTATCTGGTAAAATGAGTTCATGACTTCACTCAACGTTCTCACTCCACTATGCCGTATAAATAGTTTGATCATGACGTACAATCAACTCTCGAAATATCTGAGGTACGAGAACTCGGGGGAAACTGGGTGATCGTGACAGAATGATTATTTGAACAGGATGATGGGCACACATTCTGATTCAAGGCATTATGTATTTCAGCTGTGTACGCCACCACGCCCACTCCCGGCAGTACAGGTAAGTTCATTCTTCAATGTTAAAATGATGCTTCATAATCCATGCATACACCTGCGTATTAAGTAAATATCAGTAAATATTAATTCATTCTTCATATAGTAGATCTTGTGAAGTGAGTGCTCGCCCATCACGATAATGTCCTGCTTCCCATGCCCCAGTAGATCTCGTTAAAATCAGTGCTCAACCCCACCCCAATAATGTCCTGCTTCCCACGTCCCAGTAGATCTCATTGAAATCAGTGCTCTCCATACCCCGATAATGTCCTGCTTCCCATGCCCCAGTAGATCTCGTTAAAATCAGTGCTCAACCCCACCCCAATAATGTCCTGCTTCCCACGTCCCAGTAGATCTCATTGAAATCAGTGCTCTCCATACCCCGATAATGTCCTGCTTCCCACGCCCCAGTAGATCTCATTGAAATCAGTGCTCTCCATACCCCGATAATGTCCTGCTTCCCACGCCCCAGTAGATCTCATTGAAATCAGTGCTCTCCATACCCCGATAATGTCCTGCTTCCCACGCCCCAGTAGATCTCATTGAAATCAGTGCTCTCCATACCCCAATAATGTCCTGCTTCCCACGCCCCAGTAGATCTCATTGAAATCAGTGCTCTCCATACCCCGATAATGTCCTGCTTCCCACGCCCCAGTAGATCTCATTGAAATCAGTGCTCTCCATACCCCGATAATGTCCTGCTTCCCACGCCCCAGTAGATCTTGTTGAAATCAGTGCTCTCACCACCCGATAATGTCCTGCTTTCCACTTTACGGTGGATTTCCGTACAGATGGAAGTGTCACCTGCAGTGGCTTTGTTGGCAACTTCGTTGTTAGTGACGGTATGTACAGAGGCTCTACCTGGTATAATGAGTTCATGGCTTCAGTCAATGTTCTTACTCCACTATGTCGTATAAATAGTTTGATCATGACGTACAATGAACTCTCGAAATATCTGAGGTACGAGAACTCGGGGGAAACTGGGTGATTGTGACAGAATGATTATTTGAACAGGATGATGGGCACACATTCTGATTCAAGGCATTATGTATTTCAGCTGTGAACGCCGCCACGCCCACTTCCGGCAGTACAGGTAAGTTCATTCTTCAATGTTACAGTGATGCTTCATAATCCTTGCATACGTATTAAGTTAATATCAGTAAATATTTAATTCATTCTTCATATAATTGTTTTCTGTTCCAGCGACATGCACAGCAACCTTGTCGTCATTATCTGGCAGCATCATGAGCGCCCCAGGTGACGGCAGCAACTACTTGGACAACACCCGGTGCTACTACACCTTCACAGCGACATCCTACCCGAGAACCATTACCTTCACCTTCACAACCTTCGAGCTGGAGAGTCATTCCTCCTGCAGATATGACTACCTCCAGTTTAACAGCGGCGTGAAGAAATGTGGAAGTATCTTCTATCTCGTGTGTAAGTACTCCAAGCAGCTTGGGAAATGATATCAAGCTGAACTTCGATGATGTTTTTGAGGTTTCAATACTCCCATGTCTCAGTATATGCATAGGTTTGCGAGATATAGATATTTGTTAATTGGGCAGGTATTTCTGAAGTACAGATACAGAAAAGACAACTTTTGCACAATATATTGGGTACGTTTTTATTCAGCATACCTCAATTGTAGATAATTCAGTGTTATTAAGTGCAGAAGAGCATAGTACAACATTATTGTAACTCTGAATTAAATTGACCGAAATGATCTGGCCCCACTCAACACCTCAATATACATCATGCATTGGTGTTCGCGTTGTATCCTGGGTGTGTGTTTGTCTCCAGATACTGACACGATGAACGGCCAGTACCGTGTCACCTTCTACACTGACGGATCAGTCACACACCGTGGCTTCGTGGCCTCCTACCAGATCAGTGACGGTAGGTATTAATGGTTGATTCTCATCACACACAATCGTACAATAATCCTGCAAGCACCCCTGTGTAACTCCGTGTATCTACACCTCGTCCTTTTGTTCATCTATCAGGATTGAAAGTCAGTTTAACGAGTTTGATGCTATCCTTTCCAGCGAGCCTCACCTTTTATTTCACTTTTTTAAAATTTGAATTTACCAACACATATAAGATGTTGAACATTCACAGATCACGATTCTGATTTATTCTGTTAAAAATGAGTTCAATTATACTGAATGTACATGTGATATATGGGATGGAAATATTCTTCTGTAACAATAGTCAGACAAACATGGACTTCAACATCCATTACAACATCGTGTCAGGTGACTATTTCATCAATGATGTATAGAAAACACTTGTCTTTTCCACTTTGTAGGCCTGTCATTGACCTGATGCACATTGCATCTTGTCTTCTTGTAACCTTAGTATAACATCATCCGTGATTACAGATCGTTTTAATAAGAATGATCACTCACAGACATTTCTCATATTCTGAAAGCATTGGGGTAGCCTAGTGGTTCAAGCTTTCCCTCGTCAGGTCGAAGGCCTGGGTTGATTCCCCACATGGGTGCCACGTGAGAAGCTCATTTCTGTCGTGATAGTGTTAGAATATTGCTTAAAGCGACCTAAAACCAAACTCACACACTACTCATTATCTGTATTAAATACATTAAAATAAAGCTGCTGTTCATATTGATGATAACTTTTATTCATGACATTATGTTCCCAGAAACAGTGTCACCTTGCCCTTCTTTACCAAAACAATAAGTAAATGTAAATTTATGTAAATATATATATATATATATTAGACCAGATTAACGTTGGTATAAAATGCAGATCAAATCGACTTATGCTTCCTCAACAGACAGCTGTTACCAGGTCCTGACAGATGCTGATGGACAGATTCAGGTCCCTGATGATGGCAACGCCACCTACTCACCTAACCTCGACTGCCTGTTCACCATCAGACCTCCAGCAGGTCGGCTGTGGGTTGTTAACATCACTCTTGAGGAGTTCGACGTGCAGAGATATTATTCTTCCTACAGTAACAGTTTCTCCACCTCCTGCAGCAATGATTACATACAGATGCTCTATGATGGCTCTTCTTCCTCCAGGATGTGCGGAACAAGGACTTCACCCAAATCTTACATATGTTTGTACCATCAATGCTTGCCATCACCATTTGCTTGATAAAACAATGTTTGTACATGTACACGTGATATCTTTAATGTATGTTTAAATGGATTTGCTCGATTGTTGCTAAAAAGATGTCATACATTGGAGCTGCTGGCATATTGCTGGACATCAATGGAAGGTGACCATTGGAAAGATGAAGTCATCCTTTCTTTCATCCAGTGTGGTGGATAGTTATTTTACTTTGAATCTGCAGGCATATATCTAAATCAGATGAAGCAGTCTCTCGGGATTTCTCTTATAATGCTGAGGTGGGTAAATCAGTTGAAGGGAGTTGGCTATTTGACCATTATTGAATGATATCAGATCATCGAAACACCCGACCATGGAGTTAACCTTTTCACTAAATTCCTTTGTTCTATTTTTCCAATTAGTGCAGAAACTCTCACTTGTATGCGTAAATAATTAGATCTGCAAGGAGGAGAGCACAGTTGGTGCCCATGGGGATGCCTACATTATTGCAGAAATATCATGCTCCCAATGTCACATCGATGCTATCTGTGAGGAGGTCCATCACTTTACGAAGTGCTTTCCAAGTAAACTTCAGATAACATTTGATTCAATTTTAACAAATAGTCCTAAACCTTTGAAGATAGAGATACTAACTACATCTATGGTCTCCAGGGATCAGAGACCGAAGAAAGACAATGACCTGTGTTTAAAATGGTGGTTTATATGTGTGTACATTTCACTTCCTTATCTTCAGACAACATCTATGACAGTGATGTGAATATCACTTTCCACAGTGATGCCTCCGTTCAGAGGAATGGTTTCAACATATCTTTCTCCTACACTGAAAGTAAGCAGACGTCTTGCAATAGAAGGTTATATGCCCTGATTTTGTGTATACAAATACTCCTTAAATGAAGCACAGTTGATCTTTATCAAGAAATTATCCCTGTGCATCTTGAAAGGTGCAGCTTGTTAGAAATGCTGATCTTTGTTGCAGTTCCAGTCAGTTTTAACTTGTAACCTGATCCCCCAAATGAAGATGCATGTACAACTGTACATGACAGAAATATTTAATAAATGTATGTCACCCCCAAAGCTTCATGTCAAGTAAGCAAACTTTCTCAGTTTACATTAAACGGATATAGGAAATATATTAATATTTCAGACACCTGTGTGACGGAACTCGACCAGAATAATGGTACAATCCGCAGCCCTGTGACTGAGGGTGGGGTGACCTACCCAACAGACACCTTGTGTATTTACTACCTCGACCTTGGAGATTCCCCCAAGACTGTTACTTTCACAGTCAGGGTCTTTGATGTAAACTGTGGTGATTACTTCATCGTTAACGGACAGCAGTTCTGTGGAAACAGATTGACACAAACGGCTTGTGAGTAGTCCACTATTTAGAGCATATTACTGTAATGAGAACGTCAATTGTTTGGCGAATACCAAGATATTCGAAAGATATACCATCAAGATATGCCAAATAAACTAAATCAAATGATATTTGTTATTTTAATGTATGAAACGTTCATTCAATTTCAGTTTTCAATTTCAATATTTTCCCAGTTTTACATATTTTGTATTTCTGTTCTGAAACATCTGAGATCGTTGGTTTGAAATTGTGTTCACATGATCGCATAAATGGTGCCCATGAAACTCATTGAATTTCGATCAGGTTTTAAAAATGACCATAACTGCAGCCATGTTGAAAATTTGGTTGACCCTATTCGGACCCATTTCTGCATGTATTATTGTCTTATGCAGGGAGTAGTTTGTGCATGTGCTGTGTCAAGTATCACATTTTCCATCAAGCTAACATTGTTTACTGGATGTGCGCTTATTTCTACAGTCCATATGACAGGGAGGGCAAACATTACCTTCCTGTCCAATGGTTACAGCACAGGACGAGGAGTGGATGTCGACTACCTTGTAACTAATTGTAAGTGGCATTATAGTTTCTTTGTGTGGTGAAAAGAAAATAAAATGCGTCGATAGTTCGATATTTTATCTGTCTTCTCCAAAGAACAGAAGAGCACCATGCCCAAAGTTCAGATGTATTTAGTTTGCAAGTTTTATATATGAAGAACAATCCTTACTCAACCCAACTTTCTTATTCCAGTCATCATACAACAGGTTTCAGCAATTCAGGGTGTACAGTTTCTGAATGAAAGTCACACACTCGTTCAGTGTGTTGTGAATTAATTATTGATTTTGAAATACGTCCATGTTATACTGAAAAACACTCATTATAACCTTGGCAACTCGTAAAGCAAATTATGACAACATCGTTGTGTTGCAGACACATGTGATCGAGTATATCGTACAACGTCAGGGAATTTGGATTCTTACTCTGTGTCAAGTGTTGCACTCGCACAAGACATGGACTGTGAATACATCATTCGTCCCCCGTACTACCCCTTCCTCATGACAATGTACTTCAGTCCATTCTTTATGCCGTACAACTTCACGGACAACAACGGCACTTGTTCTGGCAGCTATGTGGAGATCAGCAGCACACAGTACTGCGGAACTGTTTATGGCCAGTATAACTGTAAGAACTATACTGTACTATTGTAATATATTTTTTTAAATATAGGGTGTCGCATTGTTATAAATGTATGCATTTAGAGCAGATAAGCTAAACGAAATTGAAGAATATGGTTTGTTTGTTTGTTTGTTTGGTGTTTAACGTTTAATGTATTCCATGACGGCTAACTGTTAATACTCGTACCTGGATGAGACAATCCAGTGATTGATATTATGAGCAACGACTCCTGTCGTCATGTGCGATGAAACGCAATCAATCAGATCACTGAGCCTAGCCACACGATCCATAAGCTAGCCTCTTACAACCATCATACACCAGCATATGTTGCTATGGACCTATTATAACCCGAAAACTCCCCAATACGACGAACATGTAAAACACATGGAGCACACCTTATCAGCCTTGAAACGCTGTACTGAAAATCCAAACTGATCAGGTTACAGACACTTATATAGGAATTTGTAATTTGTCATAAGGCCCTACTTCACCGAAAAATATAAATTGTAACTTGATATGTTTCCAAGTCTCATCAGAGGAGCCTGTGCTACCTGTGCGGTATCATCACTCTGTTAATTCAGTCACAGTGAGGAGGGAAGTCTTTAACATCTACTTCAACACAAGGCCCGGTAGGTATCTCAGGTGACAAATATGTGATAAAAGATTAACTAGATTTAATGCCCTTGAAATGCTTCTTCAAATACTTATATAAGATAGCTACGAGATAAATCGCATAGAACAATAAAGAATGAGGCCTGGTTTACGTCACAATAAACATTGTGCTATCATGACGTCATTTCTGGACATTCGAACATACCTCTCGCGTATTGATGATGTCGTAATTGGATAACGGTATTTTTAGTGGGTAGTGAGTTGTTCCCCAAGATGTAGCTGGGCAAAAGTGGCCAAAAGTGGGCGAGATATTGCTATCTGTTTTGGAAGAAGGTACCGATAATAGGCGCGAAAATCGTGAGAATATTCAGAAAATACAAACTTAACCTGCTTGTTCATAAGCATACAAATGAATAATGTCACTTTCTCAGTTTCATGTAATATAACGCTGACCGACACTACGGGCTACATCAACAGCTACTCTGGTTATGGCGATGAATCAGCGTATAGGCGTTCCTACAACGACGGCACTCACTGCATCTTCACAATAAAGGTGGACGACGTTGTGGGTCAGACAATTGTCTTTAGTCTCAATCAGTTCCACCTGGAGAACCCTGACAACAGCACATCTGTCTGTAATGAATATGTGGATATGAATGGCGAAGAGAGACTGTGTGGATACCAATATGGGACTCGAAGTTGTAAGTGCAGGGTTTTTATCATTTTCAATCAGTTAAAACACATTTGTTCTTATGATTAATGAAGTGTAGCTAATAGTCAGAAGAGCAGATTTTGTCTAAGAAATCCGGAGTTGTCAGGGATTTTCTGACAGAAACACAACTATTATCTTTTGTATATTGGTGACACGTGCTCAACAATTTATAGCAAATAACTATGTTATATTTGACCTGGTTAAAATATGAGATGGGTGTAATAATCCTTCTCAAGTTCCATTGTGTCATTTAAAACTTATCATACCTCCTATTGTTACAGTCAACTTTGATGGTACTTTTGTCGTGACCTTCACCAGTGACAATGGTCAGACAAACATGGGCTTCAACATCCATTACAACATCGTGCCAGGTGACTATTTCATTAATGGTGTATAGAAAACACTTGTCTTTTCCACTTTGTAGGACTGTCACTGACATGATGCACATTGCATCGTGTCTTCTTGTAACTTTTAGGATGTATAACATCATCCGTGATTACAGATCGTTTCAATCAGAATAATCACTCACAGACATTACTCATATTCTGAAAGCATTGGGGTAGCCTTGTGGTTCAAGCTTTCCCTCGTCAGGTCGAAGGCCTGGGTTCGATTCCCCACATGGGTGCAACGTGAGGAGCTCATTTCTGTCGTGATAGTGTTAGAATATTGCTAAAAGCGACCTAAAACCAAACTCACTCACTACTTATTATCTGTATAAATAACATTAAAATAAAGCTGCTGTTCATATTGGTGATAACTTTTATTCATAACATTATGTTCCTAGTAAATGTAATCCTGTTGTTGATCACATAGCATGCATCAATTTTCAGCTGGATGCCTGGTCACGCACAACACTACTGAAGGCACTCTCATCAGCCCCGGGACAAGCAGTGGTCTGTACCACAACAACCTTGACTGCCGATACACCATGTTCACATCCTACAACCAGACTAAGGTCACGGTCACCGTCAATGCTTTCGACCTTGAATCCCCATCGTACAGTTCGAGCTACTGTTACGACTACGTATACTTCACAGACGGGTCCTACACTTCAGAAAGATACTGTGGTGCCATCGCTGCAGGAACTACCGTCACATGTGAATAACGTTATATATTATTTTTGAAATATTGTAATCATTGTGACTTGTTATCTTAAATGGACTCTTTGACTGTACATGAAGTAAGACGGGTAAACTTTTATTTCTTGAAGGGTTCACGAATGCGAGACAATTCATCTTTGTCTTTCATACAAACAACCAGATCAGCAGACAAGGTTTCAATGCGTCCTACAAGATTGAGGAAGGTAATGTTATACGTAGTGTGATATTCTTAAACAACAATTCTTCTTAATTCTTGAACTTGTGACGTAATGAGATTGACGAACACTAAAAATATAGAGATCAATGGATTACTCTACAATCCGATCTCATTTGATATACTTCAGTATCGAGATAATCCACTATTTTTCCCGCGAAAGACAGACCTCCCCTGCGAAGAATTGATTTTCGTTATAATTAGAATTCTTTTGTGTTATTTCAGATATTTGTGATGAACTATTTACCGACTCTAGTGGCACAATAAGGAGTCCCGTCTACAGTACTGGTCTCTACAGACGTAATCTGAACTGCACCTATACCATCAGACCTCCAACACAGGGCCTATACAGGTTCACTCTGACGTACTCTCAGTTTGACGTTCAGAGGACGTCCTACAACTCCTCATCTTACAGTCTGAGTACATCATGTAGCTACGACTACGTGGAGACCAGGCTCTCAGGACTCACCGGCACCAGCAGATTGTGTGGCAGAATGAGCTCACCAAGAACGTACTTCTGTAAGTCATGACCCCCTTGAGTGTGTCAACAGGGTATACATGCCTTTGAGCTTCATTACAGGTACCATGCTACCAAAACCGTTTGAATTCAAATCATTGAAATAAATTAATACAATTCCTATCGCATGATATCTTACACTATATTTCGATTGTTTTTGTTTTCTGTAACATGACAGACATTGATCTATATTACTGGACAATGCTCAAATATATCTTTGGCCCGTGACAGATATTGTCAATATAACCGTTGGAATATAACCGAGAATTGTGCGAATTTCCTGTAATAGTGAAGTATTTATATTTCAGATAACAGTATGAATGGAGGAATAGTCATCAATTTTGTGACAAACAGCAACATTGAGAGAAGGGGGTTTGTGCTGAACTATTCATATGGCGAAAGTACGTTCACATGTGTATTGAATCTTTTAGCAAATACTATCCATCACAATGCTTGTATATTCGATCACCTGTTAACAATGCGATCAACCATAGGTCACACAGGGCGTCATGATCAAATCAACGTGTATATGTAAGGTTACTTGACAAGAGCTACCTTAACCATGGACCCTGTTTACAGTTTTGTGCCTCGATGTCAATCTCTACATTGACAGACATACATATGTGCAGTATCAAGTTGTCGATGTTTTTCCTCTTACTATTTCATCACTACCTTATATGTGTGTGCGTGCGTGCGTGCGTCCGTGCATCCCTGCGTCCGTACTGTTGATGTGTAACGCCGCACTGAAACATATGCTTTCTTCATGAGGGCAGTCTGGAACAGAAAAACTGATATGATCAACAATCCACGCTGTTGGGGCAAGATGCCATCAACCGAATCACGGAGCCTGACCACCCTCTCCATTATGTCGTCTCTTGGAGCAGAGGTTGCTAGGGGCCAGTTCAAACACGGAATCCCCACGGGGATCCAGTTAAAAAAGTTGTTTGGGCCATATTTCAATTTCATATATAATAACCGTTGTTTTGGAATAAAAGAGTAACCTTCGTTTCATCACTTCTCTCTTTTAAAAATGGTTGCTAATATATTTCAGATTTGTCAGAAAGTATTTTCACTTCCTCGAATGATATTAAAGTGTGTATTTCGTTGGTTTTTTTTGTAGCCATATTGCAGATACTGTTAAGTTTTGTCTCATTGCAGCGACCTACATCGATGTGTCATCACAATCTGATGACGTGAATGGTCATCCATATTAATGCCGTGTCAAACTTTCTAATATTGCGTAAAACTGTATTCTTTCGTTTGCCATATGATCGATCAGTAAATAATATTCAATTTCGAGAAAGATGATGCTTCTGGAAAAATGTTTCCTATTCTTAAAAGTGTATATATATATATATATATATATTATATAATTTCATTAGACAAGATTAACGTTGGTATAACATGCAGATCAAATCGACTTATGCTTCCTCAACAGACAGCTGTTACCAGGTCCTGACGGATGCTGATGGACAGATTCAGGTCCCTGATGATGGCAACGCCACCTACTCACCTAACCTCGACTGCCTGTTCACCATTAAACCTCCAGCAGGTCGGCTGTGGGTTGTTAACATCACTCTGGAGGAGTTCGACGTGCAGAGATATTATTCTTCCTACAGTAACAGTTTCTCCACCTCCTGCAGCAATGATTACATACAGATGCTCTACAAGGGCTATTCTTCCTCCAGGATGTGCGGAACAAGGACTTCACCCAAATCTTACATATGTTTGTACCATTTATTCTTGCCATCACATTTTGCTTTCTAAAACAATGTTTGTACATGTACACATGATAGATATCTATCCCGACCATGGAGTTAACCTTTTCACAAAATTCCTTTGTTCTATTTTTCCAATTAGTGCAGAAATTCTCACTTGTATGCGTAAATAATTATATCTGCAAGGAGGAGAGCACAGTTGGTGCCCATGGTGATGCCTACATTATTGCAGAAATATCATGCTCCCAATGTCACATCGATGCTATATGTGAGGAAGTCCATCACTTTACGAAGTGTTTTCCAAGTAAACTTCAGATAACATTTGATTCAATTTTTTACAAATAGTCCTAAACCTTTGAAGATAGAGATACTAACTACATCGTTGGTCTCCGCGTTCATTGACACATGCCCCATGGATCAGAGACCGAAGAAAGACAATTACATGTGTTTAAAATGGTGGTTATTATGTGTATACATTTGACTTCCTTATCTTCAGACAACATCTATGACAGTGATGTGAATATCACTTTCCACAGTGATGCCTCCGTTCAGAGGAATGGTTTCAACATATCTTTCTCCTTCACTGAAAGTAAGCAGACGTCTTGCAATGGAAGGTTATATGCCCTGATTTTGTGTATCCAAATACTCCTTAAATGAAGCACAATTGATCTTTATCAAGAAATTATCCCTGTGCATCTTGAAAGGTGCAGCTTTTTACAAATGCTAATCTCTGTTGCAGTTCCAGTCAGTTTTAACTTGTAACCTGATCCCCCAAATGAAGATGCATGTACAACTGTACATGACAGAAATATTTAATAAATGCATGTCACCCCCAAAGCTTCATGTCAAGTGAGCAAACCTTCTTAGTCTACAATAAACGGATATAGGAAATATATTAATATTTCAGACACCTGTGTGACGAACCTTGACCAGAATAATGGTACAATCCGCAGCCCTGTGACTGAGGGTGGGGTGACCTACCCAACAGACACCTTGTGTATTTACTACTTCGACCTTGGAGATTCCCCCAAGACTGTTACTTTCACAGTCAGGGTCTTTGATGTAAACTGTGGTGATTACTTCATCGTTAACGGACAGCGTTTCTGTGGAAACAGATTGATCCAGAAAACATGTGAGTAGTGAATCTATGTTAATTTCTATATTTCTTCACGCATTCTACTAATACTTCATTTTTAATGGACAGCATTTCTGTGGAAACAGATTGACACAAACGGCTTATGAGTAGTCAACAATTCAGAGCATATTACTGTAATGAGAACGTCAATTGTTTGGCGAATACCAAGATATTCGAAAGATATACCATCAAGATATACCAAATAAACTAAATAAAATGATATTTGTTATTTTAATGTATGTAACGTTCATTCAATTTCAGTTTTCAATTTCAATATTTTCCCAGTTTTACATATTTTGTATTTCTGTTCTGAAACATCTGAGTTCTTAGATTTGAAATTGTGTTCACATGATCGCATAAATGGTGCCTATGAAACAGCTTATTGAATATCGATCAGGTTTTAAAAATGACCCAAACTGCAGCCATGTTGAAAATTTGGTTTACCCTTTTTGGACCCTTTTCTGCATGTATTTTTGTCTTATGCAGGGAGTAGTTTGTGCATGTGCTGTGTCAAGTATCACATTTTCCATCAAGCTAACATTGTTTACTGGATGTGCGCTTTTTTCTACAGTCCATATGACAGGGAGGGCAAACATTACCTTCCTGTCCAATGGTTACAGCACAGGACGAGGAGTGGATGTCGACTACCTTGTAACTAATTGTAAGTGGCATTATAGTTTCCTTGTGTGGTGAAAAGAAAAGAACATGCGTCGATAGTTCAATATTTCATCTGTCTTCTCCAAAGAACAGAAGATCACCATGCCCAAAGTTCAGATGTATTTAGTTTGCAAGTTTTATATATGAAGAACAATCCTTACTCAACCCAACTTTCTTATTCCAGTCATCATACAACAGGTTTCAGCAATTCAGGGTGTACAGTTTCTGAATGAAAGTCACACACTCGTACAGTGTGTTGTGAATTTATTGTTGATTTTGAAATACGTCCATGTTATGCTGGAAAACACTCATTATAACCTTGACAATTCGTAAAGCAAATTATGACAACATCGTTGTGTTGCAGTAACATGTGATCGAGTATATCGTGCAACGTCAGGGAATTTGGATTCTCACTCTCTGTCAAGAGTTGCACTAGCACAAGACATGGATTGCGAATACATCATTCGTCCCCCGTACTACCCCTTCCTCGTGACAATGTACTTCAGTCCATTCTTTATGTCGTACAACTTCACGGACAACAACGGCACTTGTTCTGGCAGCTATGTGGAGATCAGCGGCACACTGTACTGCGGAACTGTTTATGGCCAGTATAACTGTAAGAACTATACTGTAATATTGTAATATATTTTTTTTAAATATAGGGTGTCGCATTGTTATAAATGTATGCATTTAGAGCAGATAAGCTAAACGAAATTGAAGAATATGGTTTGTTTGTTTGTTTGTTTGTTTGTTTGGTGTTTAACGTTTAATGTACTCCATGACGGCTAACTGTTAATAGTCGAACCTGGATGAGACAATCCAGTGATTGATATTATGAGCAACGACACACGTCATCTTGTGCACTGAAACGCAATCAATCAGATCACTGAGCTTGGTCACACTATCAGCAGCATATGTTGCTATGGACCTAGTATAACCCGAAAACTCCCCAGTACTGAAAATCCAAACTGATCAGGTAACTGACACTTATATAGGAATTTGTAATTTGTCATAAGGCCCTACTTCACGGAAAAATAGAAATCGTAACTTGATATGTTTCCAGTCTCATCGGAGGAGCCTGAGCTACATGTGCGGTATCATCACTCTGTTAATTCAGTCGGAGGGAGGAGGGAAGGCTTTCACATCTACTTCAACACAAGGCCCGGTAGGTATCTCAGATGACAAATACGTGATTAAAGATTAACTAGATTTATTGCCCTTGAAATGCTTCTTCAAATACTAATATAAGATGCTTCGAGATAAATCCCAAAGAACAATAAAGAATGAGGCCTGATTTACGTCACATTAAACATTGTGCTATCATGACGTCATTTCTGGACATTCGAACATACCTCTCGCGTATTGATGATGTCGTAATTGGATAACGCCTAGTGGTTCAAGCTTTCCCGGTCGAAGCTTTCCCGGTCAGGTCGAAGGCCTTGGTTCGATTCCCCACATGGGTGCAACGTGAGAAGCTCATTTCTGTCCTGATAGTGTCAGAATATTAAAGAGTCAAATTAAAAACTTCACATTTTTAAAAGTAATCCCATATATGATATACGGGGATCCAGTTAAAAAAATTGTTTGGGCCATATTTCAATTTCATATATCCGTTGTTTTGGGATAAAAGATTAACCTTCGTTTCATCACTTCTCTATTTTAAAAATGGTTCCTAATATATTTCAGATTTGTCAGAAAGTTTTTTCTCTTCCCTCGAATGATGTTAAAGTGTGTATTTCGGTTTTATATGTTGTAACCATATTGATACTGTTAAGTTTTGTCTCATTTGCAGCGACCTACATCGATGTGTCATCACAATCTGATGACGTGAATGGTCATCCATATTAATGCCGTGTCAAACTTTCTAATATTGCGTAAAACTGTATTCTTTCGTTTGCCATATGATCGATCAGTAAATAATATTCAGTCTCGAGAAAGATATAATTATGTGTAAGTAACCTAGTTTCTCCTAAGACGGTTGCTGGAAGGTCTTTAGATATATGAATTATGTTTTAGCTATTATAGTAGCTGTCTCAAATACTTACAAATGGAAAATCCCCGTTACCAACTGGCTTGTTACCAGATGTTAGAAACGTATGACGAATATTAAAATATAAACTAATATAATGTACCAACAGGATTTTCTTATGTTTAGCTAGCGCAGGATTGAGGACATATTGATATTTCCCATTGCCTATATCAAACAAAGCTTTAAGGATATTGGATTTCTTTATTGGCACAGTAAAATTATTAGCTTATTATTCCTATGTGCGTAGTGGTATCACTACTTGATCCTGAAAAGTATGTATTAAAATTAATGCCACATACGGATTTTATCAGTATACTATGCAAGTGTCGCTGATTATTACACAGATATTAAATAAGGGGATAAATTTACTATGTTTTCAATGTAGAGCCAAGTTACCTGTAAATTTAATCGTGCTTAATAGAATTTGGAACCGAACCTGCAGCAACCCAAAGTTCAGATGTATTTAGTTTGCAAGTTTTATACATGAAGAACAATCCTTACTCAACCCAACTTCCTTATTCCAGTCATCATACAACAGGTTTCAGCAATTCAGGGTGTACAGTTTCTGAATGAAAGTCACACACTCGTTCAGTGTGTTGTGAATTTATTGTTGATTTTGAAATACGTCCATGTTATACTGAAAAACACTCATAATAAACTTGACAACCCGTATAAAAAATTATGACAACATCGTTGTGTTGCAGTAACATGTGATCGAGTATATCGTACAACGTCAGGGAATTTGGACTCTTACTCTGTGTCAAGAGTTGCTCTCGCACAAGACATGGACTGTGAATACATCATTCGTCCCCCGTACTACCCCTTCCTCGTGACAATGTACTTCAGTCCATTCTTTATGTCGTACAACTTCACGGACAACAACGGCACTTGTTCTGGCAGCTATGTGGAGATCAGCGGCACACAGTACTGCGGAACTGTGTATGGCCAGTATAACTGTAAGAACTATACTGTACTATTGTAATATATTGTTTTTAAATATAGGGTGTCGCATTGTTATAAATGTATGCATTTAGAGCAGATAAGCTAAACGAAATTGAAGAATATGGTTTGTTTGTTTGTTTGGTGTTTAACGTTTAATGTATTCCATGACGGCTAACTGTTAATACTCGAACCTGGATGAGACATTCCAGTGATTGATATTATGAGTAACGACTCACGTCATCATGTGCACTAAAACGCAATCAATCAGATCACTGAGCTTGGTCACACGATCAGCAGCATATGTTGCTATGGACCTAGTATAACCCGAAAACTCCCCAGTACTGAAAATCCAAACTGATCAGGTTACAGACACTTATATAGGAATTTGTAATTTGTCATAAGGCCCTACTTCACGGAAAAATAGAAATCGTAACTTGATATGTTTCCAGTCTCATCAGAGGAGCCTGAGCTACATGTGCGGTATCATCACTCTGTTAATTCAGTCGGAGGGAGGAGGGAAGGCTTTCACATCTACTTCAACACAAGGCCCGGTAGGTATCTCAGATGACAAATACGTGATTAAAGATTAACTAGATTTATTGCCCTTGAAATGCTTCTTCAAATACTAATATAAGATGCTACGAGATAAATCCCAAAGAACAATAAAGAATGAGGCCTGATTTACGTCACATTTAACATTGTGCTATCATGACGTCATTTCTGGACATTCGAACATACCTCTCGCGTATTGATGATGTCGTAATTGGATAACGCCTAGTGGTTCAAGCTTTCCCGGTCGAAGCTTTCCCGGTCAGGTCGAAGGCCTTGGTTCGATTCCCCACATGGGTGCAACGTGAGAAGCTCATTTCTGTCCTGATAGTGTCAGAATATTAAAGAGTCAAATTAAAAACTTCACATTTTTAAAAGTAATCCCATATATGATATACGGGGATCCAGTTAAAAAAATTGTTTGGGCCATATTTCAATTTCATATATCCGTTGTTTTGAGATAAAAGATTAACCTTCGTTTCATCACTTCTCTATTTTAAAAATGGTTCCTAATATATTTCAGATTTGTCAGAAAGTTTTTTCTCTTCCCTCGAATGATGTTAAAGTGTGTATTTCGGTTTTATATGTTGTAACCATATTGATACTGTTAAGTTTTGTCTCATTGCAGCGACCTACATCGATGTGTCATCACAATCTGATGACGTGAATGGTCATCCATATTAATGCCGTGTCAAACTTTCTAATATTGCGTAAAACTGTATTCTTTCGTTTGCCATATGATCGATCAGTAAATAATCTTCAGTCTCGAGAAAGATATAATTATGTGTAAGTAACCTAGTTTCTCCTAAGACGGTTGCTGGAAGGTCTTTAGATATATGAATTATGTTTTAGCTATTATAGTAGCTGTCTCAAATACTTACAAATGGAAAATCCCCGTTACCCACTGGCTTGTTACCAGATGTTAGAAACGTATGACGAATATTAAAATATAAACTAATATAATGTACCAACAGGATTTTCTTATGTTTAGCTAGCGCAGGATTGAGGACATATTGATATTTCCCATTGCCTATATCAAACAAAGCTTTAAGGATATTGGATTTCTTTATTGGCACAGTAAAATTATTAGCTTATTATTCCTATGTGCGTAGTCGTATCACTACTTCATCCTGAAAAGTATGTATTAAAATTAATGCCACATACGGATTTTATCAGTATACTATGCAAGTGTCGCTGATTATTACACAGATATTAAATAAGGGGATAAATTTACTATGTTTTCAATGTAGAGCCAAGTTACCTGTAAATTTAATCGTGCTTAATAGAATTTGGAACCGAACCTGCAGCAACCCAAAGTTCAGATGTATTTAGTTTGCAAGTTTTATATATGAAGAACAATCCTTACTCAACCCAACTTCCTTATTCCAGTCATCATACAACAGGTTTCAGCAATTCAGGGTGTACAGTTTCTGAATGAAAGTCACACACTCGTTCAGTGTGTTGTGAATTTATTGTTGATTTTG